GTGGAAGAAAAAATGTTCTCCTCTCTCCTAACCCCTTACGAAGATCTGAGCCACACAGTTTTATAAAAAACGACACAAAAGCCGCCAGCAATCGAGTTTTCATATTGCCTAAAGTCGAAAGTATCTGTGAGAGATTGTCACCCTGTGAAAAAAGCCGACATATTGCAACGCCACCACTGGTTTCTCCGCGAAATGACAGTCTGAGAAATAGGCGCAGAAAATCCATACTGATGACGCGACACTACCCAGATCTAGGTAGTGCGTTTGATTAGCTAAAAATTTGCCTCAGCCAATCAGAATCACTACCCAGATCTGGGTAGTGACGCGTCATCAATATGGAATTTCTGTGCTTATTTGTTCCTCAGGCACCACTTGCAGGAAAACCAGTGGCGTTGTTGCGAAATGTAGGCTGTTTCGTCAGGCTAACCGGTTTTAGTAAAACCCAATTAGTGGTCTATCATCAATGCCGCGTTCTGATTGGTTGAGCTACTACTAGGCTATATATTATAGCCCGCTAGTAGCGAAAAGTGCCGGCTTTTTGGCGGCAAAAAAGGATTAAAGTCTAGCTTTCACCTAGCTAAAATGTTTTGATGCTCGATATTTTTGACCAACTAGTTGGATTTTCCTAAAAAAATTATTCCTCTCGCCCTCATGGCCTCTGAGTCAAAAGCCCATTCGGGCTAGAGAAATAATTGTTAAACATGTCTAGCCAAGTTCGATCTTTCTGTTTATCTCCCTTCACTATTCGCAATAACTACTAGGTATATGATCAACAAATATAATGTGTGAAAGGGCAGCAATATAATGACTAACGAAAAATTTAAGACATACTTACATAGACACATACATACACTTTATTGCGCATCCCTAAAAAGGGCTCTTCAACATCAATATAAAAATAAATTAAATAAATTAAATAGATGAATAAATCAATCATTTAATTAATTAGTTAAAAAAGACTATGTACAACAATAACTAAATAGTAACTATTTACAAAAATTATCATCTAACCTAGTTCATGTCGCAAATCAGCTCATTAATTAGACGTCGCTTAAAAACTTAAGTATTTTATTCCACATTTTTACACCATGGTAATAAAAGCTCGTTGGCCAGCATTGATTTTACAAGATGGAATATTGAGATTATCTCTATATCTTGTCTGTCTATCATGGATAATAGCTCGAGTTGAAAATTTATCTGACGGGTAGCTAGGTAGGTGACAGACCTTTGAGACATTTATACATCATAACTGCATCATTGACCATAAGTCTTTGTTTGACATTTAGCCATCGAAGTGATCTTAGACCTGCAGAGATATGATCATATTTGCGGAGTCCCAAGATGGCTGCAAAATTTTGAACAAAACGAAGCTTATTAGTGTTAGTCGCCGAGGTATTGCTCCAAAATGAGGAGCAATTAAACAACCTGCTAAAAACAAAGCTATTAATAATTAACAGAAGCGTTTCCTCATCAAGTAAATGCTTAATTCTATTGATGTGGATCAGTTTGTTCATACAACTAGCAACAGTTTTACGTATTTGTTCATCATAGGAGAGGCACTGATCTCAAAACACCCTAAGATCCTTTGCTGCAGGTGTCGATAATATTGGTTTGCCACAAAGTGTTATTGTAACTGTTGTAGCAATTGCGGAACGCCTATCACAAGACGTTTAGTTTTATCTGGATTCATAAGCAGTCAATTGTGACTTCACCACCTACAGATTTCGTTTAGATCATGGTTAACTGAAGAGACTGCGTTACATAGCTTATTAAATGTAAATTTCAAGTAAAGTTTAGAATCATCAACATAACAAGCAGTTTGACCCGGCAAAATTTAGGTACAGTTAGTAAATCATTGATATAAAACGTAAACAGAAAAAGGCCAAGAATGGACCCCTGTGGAACTCCATAATCAACTGGGAGAGAAGGCAAAACCACATCCCCAATACGAACGTGCTGAAGGTAACTTTTGAACCATTCTAGCGCTGATGGAGACACACAAAGGCTACGAAATTTAAATAACAACATGTCATGGTTTCTACTGTCAAAGGCTTTTGACATGCCCATCATTACCAATATTGAGATTTTCTTTTCATCCATAGCTTTTAATAGGTCATCGGTGACAGACAGAAGAACCGTTTCAGTGGAATAATTTTTACGATTGCCACTTTGGAATTGTGATAGCTTGTTGTCATTGTCTAAGAACGTGAAAAAATTGTCTGTGAGCCAACCTTTTATTTACTTTGGATAATACCGGTAGCAGTGATATGGGCCGACTGTTACCTGGGTTGCTAGCATCACCATCTTTTGGAGCACAAGTCTCTTCTGCGAAGACCTACAGTCATGCTCGTTCCTGTTTATTACCAAAGCAAAATATATAATAAGTTTTGATTTCTCTGGCTAAAATCCAAAAGTATGATTTTTACTGATCAGACTAACTATAACTTCTAACTATAACTTCTTCACTAAATTCAGACTCAATGTTCCTCATACTGGTGGCCTCTGGCTCTTCGCCATTCTTACTTTTAATGTTTGCAATAGCGATTTTTTTCTCCTTTTTTCCTTCTTACCTCGATGATAACATTTGCAATTGTTTGAACACTTCTTTTGAAATTAATTCTACAGTAAGACTTTCATGTCAAGGAGCGTATAAATTGACCTTCAGCTAAGGAAAAAAAGGCCACGGTACTGAAAACGGCTAATTGCTAATAATAAAAAAATAGTGTTTAATGATTATTTCTTAACTCTAGTGCTTCTTTCGAAATGTTTTTTTTTTACTTCTCTGTAGTCCAAAGCTAGTAGCAAAAAAGTGTTCGTTATTTTTCTTTTTGACGTTTATCTCTCCACTTCATCAAAGATGGTTACCCTGTGTCCGCCGCTCAGTATACAAGCACACAGAAGCCCATGGAGGATTCTTTTATTGAAACTCCACTACCTTGGCCTCGTCCATCCACCCCCAGGGTCTGGAAGACAACGAGAACGACAACGACAAGGACAACGCCTACTTCTTCCACCCCCCGAGAGGGCCCGACGTCAAAGGCCTTGTCTTCTCGCAGTTCATCCCCAACTACCATCCCCCGGGGAAACACGACTGTTACAACCCCTCCTTCTTCACCAAACGGTAAGGCCAGCCAGTTTTTGTACCTTTGGGGAATATATTTGTAAGAAAAGAGATCTTGTTTCCCTTGAGTTTCTAGAGAACGTGTTATTATTAAGATCCGACGACGGCGACGGTAGCGAAAACGTCGCTGAAAAAGTGAATTCGCGTTCTTTCAATCTTCATTGCGATTATTCCAAGTCGCTAACTTTGTCAAATGTAGGTAAACCCTCTGAAATTGGTTCTTAAGAACCACATCCAAGTTCAGAAAGAGAGAGGAAATTTCGTCGTCGCTTGTGTACTTCCTCTGTTAAACGTGAAATTAGGCATTTTCGCGTCGTAGTTGTGCTGTGACGGCAAAGAAATGTACAAAAAAGCGTGATGCACGTGCAAAATTGTTGTTTTAGTTATTAAACGAACCTATAAATTGCCGTTTTGACGTCCTCGTTGCCGTCGCCGTCGTCCTATCTTAAGGTCCCTATGGAAAAACCGTAAGCTGACGTTCACACTAAAAAATTTGACCGGACACTTCCTTTACACGGGACCGTTCAAAATTAATTTTCGCTCTATTCACACGGAACTTTGAACGGTTAGGCGTCTAAATCTTCGGACGGTTACGGTGGATCCATGTGAACAGAATACTTGAACGCACGGGTTTTCAACTGGTCTAAAATTAGTCCGGCACTGTGTGAACGTTGCCTTTTTAAATATATGAAGAAGGGTACGTCATAAAGAGAGTTAGAGAAATGTGCTTCGAATTGATGATGGAAACATGCATGCTAGCTTCTTACAGAGTGATCCATTCGGGAAATACTGGAACTAAAGAAGTAATTAATTCAGCAATTTTCTCTCATCGTCCCCATACCATAGATACAAGAGACTATAAAGGGGACAGAGAGGGCATCCCCCATATACATCCTATTCCATAGGTAATTCGTCTCGAGTTATTTTGAGAATCGGGATAAAGTTACCTCGCGCGAGGCGTGGATGTTTCGTGGAGGTTTCGCATG